ATTTCTGGGACACAAGGTAAATTCTGTATTTAACTTTTTGAGAAACTGCCAAACTTTTCCACAACAGCGTCACCATTTTACATTCCCACTGGCATTGCACAAGGTTTCCAGTTTCTTCATATTCTCAGTAAAACTTTTCTTTTTTCAATGATAGCTATCCTATTAAATGTGAAGTGGTATCTCATTGTGGTTTTGATTTGCATTTCCCCTAAATGCTAACAACACTGAACATTTTCTTCATGTGCTTATTGGCCATTTAAGAAGCCCTGGTGGCACAGTGGGTAAGTGCTCGGCTGCTATAAGCAAGGTTGGCAGTTCAAACCCACCAGCTGCTCCATGGGAGAAAGATGTCTTAGTCTGCTTCTGTAAAGATTGTTGTTGTTAGGTGCTGTCGAGTCACTTCCAACTCATAGCGACGCTATATACAACAGAACGAAACACTGCCCGGTCCTGTGCCATCTTTGTGATCGTTGTTAATGCTTGAGCCCACTGTCGCAGCCACTGTGTCATTCCACCTCTTTGAGGGTCTTCCTCTTTTTTGCTCACCCTCTACTTTACCAAACATGATGTCCTTCTCCAGGGACTGATCCCTCCTGATAACACGTCCAAAGTATGTGAGACGAAATCTCACCATCCTTGCTTCTAAAAGACATTCTGACTGTACTTCTTCCGAGACTGATTCGTTTGTTCTTTTGGCAGTCCGTGATATAGCCAATATTCTTTGCCAACAGCATAATTCAGAGACATCAGTTCTTCTTCAGTCTTCCTTATTCCTTGCCCAGCTTTTACATGCATATAAGGCAATTGAAAACACCATGGCTTGGGTCAGGCACACCCTAGTCCTTAAAGTGACATCTTTGCTTTTCAACACTTTAAAGAGGTCTTTTGCAGCAGATTTGCCCAGTGCAATGCGTCTTTTGATTTCCTGAGTGCTGCTTCCATGGGTATTGATTGTGGATCCAAGTAAAACGAAGTCCTTGACAACTTTTAATCTTTTCTTGGTTTATCATGATGTTGCTTATTGGTCCAGTTGTGAGGAGTTTTGTTTTCTTTATGTTGAGGTGTAATCCATGCTGAAGTCGGTAGTCTTTTATCTTCATCAGTAAGTGCTTAAAGTCCTCTTCACTTTCAGCAGGCAAGGTTGTCATCTGCATAATGCAGGTTGTTAATGAGTCTTCCTCTAATCATGATGCCGCAGTCTTCTTCATATAGTCCAGCTTCTTGGATTATTTGCTTAGCATACAGATTGAATAACAACCCTGACGCACACCTTTCCTGACTTTAAACCACACAGTATCCCCTTTTTATGTTTGAATGACTGCCTCTTGGTCTGTGTACAGTTTCCTCAAGAGCACAATTAAGTGTTCTGGAATTCCCATTCTTCACAGTGTTATCCATAATTTGTTATGATCCACACAGTCAAATGCCTCTGCATAGTCAATAAAACACAGGTGAACATCTTTCTGGTATTCTCTGCTTCCAGCCATGATCCATCTGACATCAGCAGTGATATCTCTGGTTCCACGTCCTCTTCTGAATCCGGCTTGAATTTCTGGCAGTCCCCTGTCTATGTACTGCTGCAACCACTTTTGAATGATCTTCAGCAAAATTTTACTTGCGTGTGACATTAATGATATTTTTCGATAATTTCCACATTCTGTTAGATCACCTTTCTTTGGAATAGGCATAAGTATGGATCTCTTCCAGGGGCTTGGCCAGGTAGCTGTCTTCCAAATTTTTTATTATAGATGAGTGAGGACTTCCAGTGCTGCATCCGTTTGTTGAAACATCTCAGTTGATATTCCATCAGTTCCTGGAGTCTTCTTTTTCGCCAGTGCCTTCGGTGCAGCTTGGACTTCTTCCTTCAGTACCATCGGTTCTTGATCATATGCTGTCTCTTGGTTCAGTGTCGACTGGTTCTTTTTGGTTCAGTGACTGTGTGTTCCTTCCATCTTCTTTTGATGCTTTCTACATCCTTTAGTATTCTGCACATAGAATCCTTCAGTATTGCAACTTGAGGCTTGAATTTTTTCTTCAGTTCTTTCAGCTTGAGAAATGCTGAGCGTGTTCTTCCCTATTGGTTTTCTAACTCCAGGTCTTTACACATGTCATTATAATTCTTTACTTTGTCTTCTCGAGCCATCCTTTGAAATCTTTCTGTTCAGTTCTTTTACTTCATCGTTTCTTCCTTTCACTTTAGCTACTTGATATTTAAGAGCAAGTTTCAGACTCCCTTCTGACATTCATTTTGGTCTTTTCTTTCTTTCCTGTCTTTTTAATGACCTCTTGCTTTCTTCATGTATAATATCCTTGATGTCATTCCACAACTCATCTGGTCTTTGGTCATTAGTGTTCAGCGCATCAAATCTATTCTTGAGATGGTCTCTAAATTCAGGTGGGATATATTCAAGATCATACTTTGACTCCCGTGGCCGTGTTCTAATTTTCTTCAGCTTCAACTTGAACTTGCATATGAGAAATTGATGGTCTGTTCCACAGTCAGCCCCTAGCCTTGTTCTGACCGATGATATTGAGCTTTTCCGTCGTTTCTTTCCATAGATGTAGTCAATTTGATCCTGTGTATTCCATCCGGCGAGGTTCACATATATAGTTGCCATTTGTGTTGTTGATAAAAGGTATTTCTAATGAATAATAGGTCTTTGGTCTTGCAAAATTCTATCATGCGATCTCCAGTGTCGCTTCTGTCACCAAGGCCATATTTTCCAACTACCAATCCTTCTTTGTTTCCAACTTTCATATTCCAATCACTAGTAATTATCACCGTATCTGATTGCATGTTTGATCAATTTCAGACTGTAGAAATTGGTAAAAATCTTCATCTTTGGCCTTAGTGATTGGTATGTAAATTTGAATAATAGTCGTATTAACTAGTCTTTCTTGTAGGCGTGTGGATATTATCCTATCACTGACAGTGTTGTACTCTAAAAATTACAGCCTTGGTAACCCTATGGGGCAGTTCTGCTCTGTCCTGTAGGGTTGCTCATAGTCGGAATCATCTCGACAGCAGTGGGGTTTTGGTGGCTGAAACAGTTAAGCAGTTGACTGCTGACTGAAAAGTTGGCAGTTGGAACTCACCCAGCTGCTGCACGGGAAAGACCTGACAATCTGCTTCTGTAAAGATTAGAGCCAAGAAAGCCTTATGGGGGCAGTTCTGCTCTGTCACATGAGGTTACTATGAGTTGAATCAACTCCGTGGCACCTAAGAACAACAACAACAAAACTGCCATTTGTATATCTTCGAAAAATTGTATTTTAATCCTTTGCCCATTTTTAAATTATTTGTTGTTGTTATTGTTGAATTGTAAGAGTCTTTGTATATTCTGAAAATCCCTTCTCAAACTCTCTGGGTGGTACAAATGGTTAATGCTCTCGACTGCTAATCAAAAGGTTGGAGATTCGAGTCCACCCAGAGGCACCTTGGAAGAAAGTCCTACCCATCTACTTCCAAAAAATCAGCCATTGAAAACCTTATGGAGCACAGTTCTACTCTGACGCGCATGGGGTTGCTGTAAGTCAGAATAAACTCGACAGGAGCTGGTTTTAATCCCTATCAGATACATGATTTGCAGATATTTCTCCTGTCCTATGGACTTTCTTCTCATCACTCTCTTGATGGTGTCTTTTGATGCACAGAAGTTTCTAATTTTGATTGATTTTAGCGGATGAGCAAAAAAAGGAAGACTGTCAACGAGATGGATTGATGCAGTGGCTGTAACAGTGGGCTCAAACATAGCAAGAATTGTGGAGATGACGCAGGAGTGAAGCAGTGTTTCATTCTGTTTTATGTAGGATCGCTATGAGTTGGAACCAACTTGACGGCAACTAACAACAATAACAACAATTTATCTGTTTTTTTCTATTATTGCCTGTGCTTTTGGTGTCATATCTAAGAATCCACATTCACATCCAAGGTCACAAAGCTGTTGTCCTATGTTTTCTTGTAAGAGTTTTACAGTTTTAGCTCTTAGACTTAGGTCTTTGATCCATTTTGAGTTGGCTTTTGTATGGAGCCCTGGTGGCGCAGTGGTTAAGCATTCAGCTGCTAACTGAAAGGTCGGCAGTTTGAATCCACTGGCCACTCCTTGGAAACCCTATTGGGCAGTTCTGCTCTGTCCTGTGGGGTCGCTATGAGTCGGAATCTACTCAATGGCAATGGGTTTTGTATATTGTGTAAGCTAAGAGTTCAACTTCATTCTTTTGCTTGTGGATACGTAGTTTTCTCAGCACCATTTGTTGAAAAGATTGTCCTTTCCTCCTTGAATAGTCATGGCACCCTTGTCGAAAATCAGTTGACCATATATGTGAGGGTTTATTTCTGAACTTTATTCTGTCCCATTGATCTGTATGTCTTTTATAATCCCAGTACCACACTTCTTTTATTACTGTTGCTTTTTAGTAAATTTTGAAGCCAGGAAGTGTGAGTTCTCCTACTTGGTTCTTCTTTTTCAATATTGTTTTGACTATTCTGGGTTCTTTGAAATTCCATATGAATTTTAGGATGAGTTTTTCTTTTTCTGTGAAAAAGAATGTTGGGATTTTGATAGGGATTGCATTGAATCTGTATATTGCTTTGGATAGTATTGTCATGTAGTCAAAGAATATTAAATTGCAAGAGATTTTAGATTTCTTCTCCAGAAGTCACAAATTAACAGCTGCAAAAAACTAGCAGAATAGGCAGTCTTTAAAACAAAAAGCTAGATTTTAACACCTTTAGTTATGGAATGCCTTTTTAAACTTAACACTTGACCTAGTCCTTATTCTCTACTGCCCCTCCTCCCCCCGAAGTCATTTAAATAATCTATGCTGCCTCTGAAGCTTTTGTGTATATGACCCCTATGCCTATCTCTCTCATTGCTTAGCTAAGGAAACTTAAGGCCTAGAGAAGTCAAGTTGCTGAGGAAAACATTAGTAACAGGCAGAATCAGGTCCTTGAATCTTCGTCTCTTGAAGGCCCAGTTGATTTTTTTTTTTTAACCAAGGCTCCAGTGATTTGCCTTGACCGGACGAGTGGAAAGTCTATAATGTTGGCACCTACCATGATTACGGGAGTGAAGAAATCAAGGATAGCACAAAATGAAGTTTTATCTTAAATAATTATAGGTAAATCCAAATTTATTTTATAAGGTTATTTATTTATTTTTATTAGAGGCCTTTTTAAGATAGTGGGTTTCCTATATTTGTTTACCATTTTTCATAATAACTCTCTTTCTTTTTTAGCTACAAGGCTTTGGTCGACCAAGTGTATACCATGCTGCTATTGTCATCTTCCTTGAATTCTTTGCATGGGGCCTGTTGACAACTCCTATGTTAACTGTAAGTATTGCTAAACTGGATCATTACTTATGAGATCAGAAGAAAAATTACTATTTTTTTTTATTTTGTTGGCATTGAGAATATACACAGCAAAACCATTTCAATAGTTTCTACATGTACAATTCATTGACATTGATTACATTCTTCGAGTTGTACAAGCATTCTCACTCTCCTTTTCTGAGTTGTTCCTCCCCCATTAGCATAAATTCACTGCCCCCTAAGGTTCCTAGCTAATCTTTTGATCCATATAGATAGTTCTGAAAAGAGCATAATGCTTAAGGCGGGCATTTTTTAATCATTAGGCTAAACTATTGTTTGATTTTTAAGAAGACTTCATGATATTTTTGGTTTAAGGTTTAAAGATTTATCTCAGAGCAATAGTTTCAGGGGTTCATCCATTCTCCATGGTCCCAGAAAGTCTGGAGTCCATGAGAATTTGAAATTCTGTTCTGTGTTTTTTCCGCTTTTGAACAAATTGCGTTGATTAAGGGTAGGGTAGCACAGACTATTATTGCAATTGCTGTCAATAAGTTATGCATTTGTAAAAAGTTTGATTGGCAAAAGTTGTGTGATAGCTACAGCAACAACAATAAAAAAGAGTAGCTACTGAGGCTGCCTGTGTACAACCAAAAACCTCATGGTATTTGGTTCCTTGATTTGGAGGTTTAGGGTCATGGTTTCATAGGACACTGCAGTTAATTGGCCCAATAGCGTGTTTATTGCTTCTATTTTACCTGAGACAGACTACCTCCTAGAGCGTTATGTAGTGCCTACGGTCTTAAAAGCTTGCAAACAGCCATCCAAGGCACGACAATTGGTCTCTATTTACCTGGAGAAACAGATGAAGAAGGAGAGTCAGGAATAGGAGGAGGATATGGAATGTGTGGCTGATTGCCTCCCTGAACAACTGCCTCTTTTGCCATGAGACCAGAATATCTGGATGATGCCCAGCTGCCATTATTGAGCATTTGATCAAAGATTCTGTAGACGAATCTTTGACTAAAAGGAAGAAAATGCACAACAGAATTTCAAATTCTTATAGACTTCAAACTTCCTGGAGCCATGGAGGCTGGATGAATCCCCGAGATTATTGCCCTGAGATGATCTTTAAACCTTAAACTAAAAATATGCCTTGAAGTCTTCTAAAAACCAAACAGTAGTTTAGCTTTATGAGTAAAAAATGTCTGCCCTAAGCAGTATGCTCTTTTAAGAGCTATCTATATGGGATCAAACTGACAACAGCAATTTGAAAGATTAGCTAGGAACCTTACGAGCCAGTGAGTTTGTGTTAATGTGGGAAGAACAACTCAGAAAATGAGGGTAAGAATGGTTGCACAACTCGAAAATGTAATCAGTGTCGCTGAATTGTACATGTAGAAACTGTTGAAATGGTGTATGTTTTGCTTTGTGTATTCTCAACAACAACCACAAAATGTACTTAATTTTTCCCCCCAGGGTAGCACTGCACACCCATTAAAACCAGAATCTTGGGCTGCTGTATTTAGGAACTTCTTTAAGATACCATAGAGGAAATAGTGGCAGAGTATTGTTGAAGTTTGTAATTTGCTTTACGTGAATGTTAACAAACATTGATAGCCTTTGGCTTAAGAACATAGTAAATAGGAGATTGGTCCAAACTGTTGTCATCAAGTCAATTCCAACTCATTACGACCCTACAGGCGCAGTAGAACCACCCCATAGGGGTTTGTTTGTTTGTTTTAATTGTGATTTAGATGAAAGTTTACTGACCAGATTAGTTTCTCATTCAAACATTTATACACAAGTTGTTTCACAGCATTGGCTGCAATCCCACATTGTTTCAGCATTCTCCCTCTTTCACTTTGTGTGTCCATTCGTCCACTTTTCCTGTCCCCTGCCACCTTCTCATCTTTGTTCCTGGGCAGGTGTTGCCCATTTGAACTCCTGTACTTGATTGATCTAAAAAGCACATTCTTCTTCATACATGTTATTTTTGTCTTATAGGCCTGCCTAATCTTTGGCTGAAAGATGAACTTTGGGAGTGGCTTCAAGTCTGAATTAGACGGGTGTCTGGGGGCCATAGTCTCAGGAGTTCCTCCAGTCTCTGTCAGACCAGTAAGTCTGGTCTTTTTTGTGAATTTGATCATCTGTTCTACGTTTTTCTCCTACTCTATCTGGGACCCTCTATTGTAATAATCCCGATCAGAGCTGTCAGTAGTGGGAGCTGGGCACCATCTAGTTCTTCTGGCCTCGGGATCTTGTAGGCTGTGGTTCATGTGGTCCATTAGTCCTTTGGACTAATTGCTCCCTTGAATCTTTAGTATTTTTCCCTCTCCTTTGCTCCGGACTGCTAACCAAAATGTCGGTAGTTCGAATCCACTAGCCGCTCCTTGGAAGCCCGATGGGGTAGTTCTCCTCTGTCCTGTAGGGTCGCTGTGAGTCAGAATCGACTCGATGGCAGCAAGTTTGGGTTTTCTTGGTTTTTGCTCCAGACTAGAGGAGACTGATAGTTGTATCTTAGACGGCTGCTTGCAGGCTTTTAATACCCCAGACGCTACTCACCAAAGTAGGATGTAGAGCATTGCCTTTAAGAACTGTTGTGCCAGTTGATGTAGAAGTCCCCCAGGTCTGTGGTCCTTTGCCTTTGAGCCTGGAAACTTCATCCCGTGAGGTGTTCATTTATGTCTAAGAGGTTTCCCTGACTGTGCCACTTGTGTGCTCTATTGTCTGTATTGATTTGTGAGGAGCAGCTACAGTCATGTATTTAGAAATTTTCACCTCTGAACCTGTATTTGCTGATGGGTGTGTTCCCTTACCCCCTCCTTCACCTCTTGGCATATCTGTCTGTCTGTCTATCTATGTGTCAATTTATAGATTATTGTTTTTGATTCTATTGTTGCAGGATTATCTATACTACAGTAGTTACCATAGTTGTCCTTTATTCCTGCATTCCTCTCAGTGTCCTCTCTTGCCTTGGTCATGTTGTGCTGACTTCTCCCATGTTGTGTATTGCCTTTCTCTTCATCAGTATTAACTCGTGACTACTGTCTCTTCGGTAATTTTCCCTCCCTACCTCTGTACAATCTATCTTGTTGAGGATCTTCCTCTTTTTTGCTGGCCCTCTCCTTTACCAAGCATGATGTCCTTCTCCAGGGAACGGTCCCTCCTGATAACACTTGCAAAGTACGTGAGACAGAGTCTCGCCATCCTCACTTCTAAAGGAGCATCTGCCTCTACTTCTTCCAAGACAGATTTGTTCGTTCTTTTGGCAGTCCATGGTATACTCAATATTCTTCACCATCACCATAATTCAAAGCATCAGTTCTTTGATCTTCCTCATTCATTGTCCAGCTTTTGCTTGCATATGAGGTGATTGAAAATACCATGGCTTGAGTCAGACGCACTTTAATCCTCAAAGTGACATCTTTGTTTTTTTAACACTTCAAAGAAGTCTTTTGCAGCAGATTCGCCCAGTGCAGTGCATCTTTTGATTTCTTAACTGCTGCTTGCATAGGTGTTGATTGTGAATCCAAGTAGAATGAAATCCTTGACAACTTCAATCTTTTCTCTGTTTATCATGATGTTGCTTATTGGTCCAGTTGTGAGGATTTTTGTTTCTTTATGTCGAGGGGTTATCCATACTGAAGTCTGTAGTCTTTGATCTTCGTCAGTAAGTGCTTCAAGTCCTCTTCACTTTAAGTAACCAAGATTGTGTTATCTGCGTATTATAGGTTGTTAATGAGTTTTCCTCCAATCCTTATGCTGTATTCTTCTTCATATAGTCCAGCTTTTACGACGGTTCTTAAAAGAACATAATGTTCACAGCAGACATTTTTTTACTAGTTAAGCTAAACTATTGTTTGGTTTTAAGAAGATTTGAGGGAATATTTCTGGTTTAAGTTTTAAAGATTATCTCAAGGGCACTAGGGGTTCATCCAGCCTCCGTGGCTCCAGAAAATCTGGAGTCCATAAAAATTTGAAATTCTGTTCTGCATTTTCCGCCCTTTGATCAAGATTCTTCTGTAGAATCCTTGATCAAAATGTTCAGTAATGGTAGCTAGGCACCTTCCTCTTCTTCTGGTTTCATGGAAGCGGTTAGCCACGCATTCCATATCTCCCTCCTATTCCTTATTCTTCTTCTTTCTCTGTTGCTCCAGGTGAATAGAGACTAATTATTGTGCCTCTGATGGCCGCTTGCAGGCTTTTAAGACCCCAGGCACCGCACAATGAACTAGGAGGAAGAACAGAATCACTGAACACAGTATGAGGCCAGTTAACTGGGATGTCCCATGAAATCATGACCTCCAAACCAAGGAACTAAATCCCATGAGGTTTTTGACTGTACATAAGCAGCCCCAGCAGTTACTCTTTCTTTTGTTGTTGTTGTTGTAAATATATCTATTACACAACTTTTGCCAATTCGACTTTTTACAAGTGTACAACTTACTGACGACAATTACAATAATCAGCTGTTCACCCCTACCCTTAATCAATGTGATTTTTCCATCATCGTTAACACCGTATTTCCCCCTTCCTCCACCCCCGGTAACCACTAGTCAACTTTGTTCTCTATCCATTTGTCTTTTCTTGTCCTTTTATATAATTGAGTTCATCCAATATTTATCCTTTTGTGATTGACTTATTGCACTTAGCGTAATGTCTTCAAGCTTCGTCCATATTGTAGCATGTATTGAGACTTCATTTCATTTACTGGCTGACTAGCATACCGTTGTAGGTATGTACCACATTTTATTTATCCATTCATCCGTCGATGGACGTTTAGGTTTTTTTCCACCTTTTGGCTATTGTGAACAGTGCTGCAGTGAATGTTGGTTTACATGTCTCTGTTTGAATCTTTGGTTTCAAGGAGTGGAATTGCTGGGTCATGTGGTAGTTCTATTTTTAGTTTTTGAGGAACCAGCATACTGTTTTCCTCAATGGCTGTAGCATTTTGCATTCTTACTAGCAAGGGATAAGGATTCCCCTGCCAGTTTCCCCACATCCTTGCCAACATTTGTTAT